CCCTACCGCTCCCAATTTTAAGCTATGTACTTATCTGAAACTAGAATTATAAAAAGGACCCCAATATTGTTTTGTAAAAATTCAATGATATTTTACTAACATTATAAAATAAGAAAATTGCAGATTTCATCGGATGGATTACAGGGGTCGAGTAATTATTGACACTATTGTGCTAATAATAGGCACAAGCTAGATTATTTTGATAAATATAACTACAGGATATCTAATTTGCATAATTAAAAATTATATTATCTATACATATTTCGTATTTAAATTAGTAATTTCAATTCTGAGTGAAACGAGAAATGTATTGGTATTATCATGATGTGTGCGTTTTTATTTTGTACCTGTGTATACGATTTTGACCAGAAGAAGTGCTCTGATACTAAGACGTAGTATTTGCCAAATTAATCTGAAACTCTCTGATCGGATGAGAAGTTATAGGTGGAATTAATTATACGTCATATATGTGCAAAAAAGAAAAAACAACAAAAATATGCAAAAAAAAAATTATAAACATTTACATTATAATATATCATCAATATAGATATAAATAAAACGTATTGTAATAAATAAATTATTATTGCATTGAACTTCGGGTAGCTGCTATTCTGTTATTGCAGCATGCACTGCACTCAAATATGTGATGGCCAGTTTAATTAAAAATTATTGTTGTTATATTAACCGCAATAACTGAGGTTATATAAAATTAGGATATTGTGTGATCTAGTAAGTGAAATAAAATAAACTATTAAGTGATTAGAATAAATCTTATACTTAAAGGTTCCGTTGTATATATTAGGTAAATAAATATGCTTATAAGCGCATTTACATTTTTGAATTTATTACTTCACAAAACGTTTGTTTATCCTTGCAGTGGGCGTTAACGTATAAAATTGTAAACACATAATCTTCTTTGTCGTGGACGAAATAAGAAAGAGATGAATCTATAATGGGCTACGATGTGCAGAAAGTGGGTGAATGTACAGGCATGGTGTACAAAACAATACTCAGGTAATCAAAAAACATTTTTAGGACACCTACGATTAAGGAGCAAGTGCAGGTTAAGAATGACGTAGAGCTAACGACACAGGGCATAGACTGAAAAAACTTAGTTTCAAATAAAGAGGTTTATGTTTATCTTCATGAGTATCAATTTTGAAAGAAATTATCTAGTAATATCGACAATGTTTTGTCAGGAGTTTTTTATTATTAATATTATTATTTGAATACAGCTTCAAAGTGGTAAATAGTTTAAGAATTACATACTTAACAGGTATCTAATAGTTATCTAATATCCTACATAATGAAAATCAAAATATTGAAAAAGAATGTTTGTAGGTATAGTTGAAAAAATTAAAAGTCTAACAATATCATTTAGAATAAGATGCACATATTGGTAGCTACTACTAAAAAACATTACTAAAAAAAACATTACCACCATTCATCAGTTTTTAATGTGTTTGCTTAGGTAGTTTTGTTTAATATCATGTCCAGGTAGGTTATAATTAAATGACAACATATTCTTAACTTATATACGTAATTTATTCGGTCACATTATTCGGTTGAAATTAAGATCCTAATCGTGGTCTTCTAAGGCGGTCTTATAATCATAATCATTAACTTTTAACTGAAGAAATAAATTATGTGTTATCAGAATTATACGTTACAATAAATATTTCATTGAACAACAATAATTTTTTTTATTGAATTAGAAAATTATTAATTTTTTATATAATCCCAATTTAATGAACGATTATTTATAATAGGCACTATATCTGATTATTTATACCTACACGGTATAAATAAATAAAAACACTATAAGCTTACGCGTGTTAAAGTGTTATTGGAACTATTTATTTGTTGTAATTTATATTTATACAAGTATTTTAGATCTATATCTTATGCTGTATTATTTTTTTTTTTCGAGAAGAATATTTTTAATAATTTTGATGTTTTATAATTCAATGTTTTTTTCATTTACATAATTTATTACATTTTTGTTAGTGCTCCAGATTTTTCTTAAACTTCATATGATATTATTTGCTGCTGGTTTTTATTTTATTTTTATTTCATAATCTATTCTATTCGGCCAAAGGGTTTAGCTAAACAGTTAGCAGTTCATTAGGTACCTATTTTATTTATTAATTAATTCTCAAATTTCCCACACAATAATGATCAACTGTGGTATGTAAATATATGAAATATTTACGAATATATTAAGTACTGATATATTTAAAAATATGCATTTATTTCAAAATATGTAGACAAAAATACATCTTACTTTATTCGGAGTGTTTTACATCATGTTGAGTTTTTTTTTTTATCAAGATTGAGAAATCGGAACTCGATGACATTATGTATTTACATAAAAAATTCGCTCTAAAGCAACAAATAACCATAAGCAATTATTACTAAGAAAACTACGACTTATTAAAGTCATGCGTTATAATGCGATAATAGGATAACATTAACATATTAAAAATTCATTTTTGAGGATAAAATTATTTATGCTAAATTGAATATTTTATATAGATGTAATTAAATGTAACATTTCTATTAATCGAAATTATTTTTCATAATTGCATTACATTCTATCCGTTGGGTTTTGATTGACTGATATCGTCACGACTCATGAGGCGATTTGACATCAATAGATGTACCTATGATAAAAAAAAACCTCTGTTAAGCGTATTAAGATCTACGATATATTCACTGAATGTGTCAGAATTTTATCATAAAATAACCGAATTAAAAATGTAGATATCTCAGATTTTTCAATCATAATAAACGACAAATTAGTAAAAAGTTATGAAATAAAAACGAACCATTATTTAGTAAAATATTAATTAGGCGAAGCTACCCTGATTTATTTCCATGAGACAAGTATTTTAATAGAAATAATAATTTTAAATAATAACAAAAATGATAAATTTAATAAGGTGCGTATTTATGACCATTAAGTACATACACTGATCATATATTTCATGTAACTGATTTTTTTTTTTTTTGTAACGAGTTATTAAAAAGAATATTTGATGTAATATATGGTATCCTTTAATTTAGATCTTATGAGTTTAGGGAAATGCAACCCTCAGGACATCCACCCTAATAAACGACTAAATTAAATAGGTACGTAAATATTATTTGGCACTTATAGTTTATTATAAACAAAACATATACATTGTACTTGTACAAACCGGTTCTCGTAATTATTTAAATTTAACAATAAATAGATACTGACCGTCCGGCCATACATATATAATTGTTTTATCCTTGATAATACGGAATCATATAATATTAACATACTAAGCAAAACTGCAGTGAATCTAATAAATTGTATTATAATTATGTTAATTTTTTTTTTTTTTTACAAAAATTATTTGGAATTTGATTGTTGTATAGAATATTGTGTAAAATTTAGTATAATTCGCATTAAATGTGGAAACCTATACAGACGCGAATTTAAACATAAAACGATGTTAGTAACTCATTGGTAAACATTTTAAGTTTCAAAACCTTTGGGATATAATTTTGTAGGTGCCTAAATGTTGTTACCCATCTGACACAAGCTTAGAAGAACCTTTGAGTATGTATAGTTTGGTATATTACCTTTTATGCTGATTGTGTAACTTAATTTTAAATCTCCGTAATTCCGCAGTTCTTGTATTTACCTATCTGCGTTTGTTAATTTCAATAATAAGAATGGCATTGGTGATTATGGTGGCATGAGTTGTGTCTAAATCTCGATCATATTTCTGTGCTCCGGGCGTGAATATATATACATAAAGTATTTAGTGAAATGATAATTGAAAATTTGCAATTGATATATATGTTTCGGGACACGAGCAGATTATTTATTTATCTATTTATTATAGCTTTGCTTACGCCCCAAGCAAAACCAGTGATTTCCATGCAGTTTCTCGTTATAGAGTATGTGATCCTACTCTGGTTTAAATCTACTCTGATCAACTGCTGTTAACACCGAGATTATTCACGGAGGCAAATTACAAAAAATGGCACAAGTTTCAAAATTCAAGGGGAACAGCTAGAATACTGTAGGAGAGTGTACACACTTGGATCAATACAATGCTACAGAGTCATTACATTTTTAGAGCACGCTAGTAATCCCCTACCCTCTTTGTATAACATCTGGACACCATCTCGGCTCCTTGCCAATTTTTCAACTATTATCTTTTTTTTTAAGACTTTCTATACACAAATACAATCAATAAATTCTTGGGATAACACACGCACAGACATATATATATATATATATTTTTTTTTTTATGATCGGTAAAGTCATCGATTGATTAAACCTCACGTAATTAGATCGATTCATTTAGGTGTGGATTTTTATTTTCAATTTTGGTCTACACTATATTTTAGTATCTTTTAAAAATAAAATTATTTTCGATCATAAAAATAATATTCGATTTCTCAAAGGTTGTTTTTTTGGTTCAGATTAGGAGCATACTACAGTTTTGATGCCTTCGGGGTCTTCTATTGTATTATGACCATCCGAGTAGCGAAGTACCTCGTTATTGGTTAAAATCGCTTACAAAACAACTATTAAAAAATTATGAAAAACCGGTAGAGCGTGCAACGTACACACGCGATTTTCTAATAAATCATAACATTGTTTTTATTTTTTATTCGTACAATGAATCTGGTGAACATATTTGTATGTATATTTGAGCAATACAAACAGGGCAAACATAGTATGGATTTCAAAAATAAACGTCGAGTTTATTTTCTGGTTTTTATTTAACGTTTAATTTCGTCTGCAATTTAAATTGTTAAATGCTAACAACAGTATTTATTCAACAGTTGCACACCTGACGTACACGACGTTTATGTAATTATATATCACATAAATATTATTATTTATTATTTTTATATTATATAAGTTTATCTAATATATATAATCAAGGGTATATACTATTTTTTTTTTTATAAGCGTATTAATATAATACACCTTAATACTTGTTATAATTTACCGGTATTCTTTCCAGCTGCTTGTGCCCATGTAGCCAACGACTCAAGTCCTATTCTCCTCCGGGGATTATCGCTTCTGCAGTGAGTGGTTTCGTTGTGATTATGATTTGCATCCAGACCTATTGTTTTTTGATTAACTTTTACACCTGTGAACATTGCGGTTGCTGAACTTGCTGCGTCCGGTACTTGTTTGTTGACTGAATATGTCTGCAGAAATTAACGGATTGATTATTCTTGCATAACTGAATAAAAGTTGGTATGCAGATATAATTTATAATTATTAGTTACAATTATTTTAGAGAAGTAAAATGTATACACATTTTTTGTTTTTGGTAATTTACCCAGAAATTTCACTTATATTTACCATGAGTTCTGTAAATTTGGTAAATTTTGATATTTTTAGTGATATATATAACCGTCAGGAAAACCTCCTAGAATATCAATAATTCTTTCATTAAAGTTCTACAATGATAACGTTTTTTAAAAAAAATTATTTACAGGATAGATTACACGTTTGCGTATAATCTTATCTTATCTTACTTAGAGATAGCGTTTGTTTGTTTGTTTGCAAAAATCTCAAAAACTAATGGACCGAATTCAAAAAATTCTTTCACCATTAGGTTGTTCCTTATCCCTGAGTAACATATGATATATTTATTACTAGAAAAAATTAGGGAACCCTACTAAAACTTCAATAATACCTATAAGTCGAAATTTGATAAATAAGATTATTAATCCCAGTGTTAGGTTATTATTACCTTATTTAAAAATATATCTAAAATTAAAACAGTTCAATCTAATCCGTACAACGGTTTTTACGTATAAGGATGTGCACGAGTAACAGTTAGGTGTATATATTGTAAGTGATACAAAGTTCACCACGTCAAATATACCTATAAAAATATAGCAAAGCGTTAACGGATCAGTTATATCATATAAAATAAATCCTAAGTACTCAGTACTAAGAACCATACAAAATAATTTCATCACAAGTAAAAATGTTAGACGCCCAGCGAAGTGGGCACGGGTTAGCTTGTTGTGTATATTTTTATTGTATGTAAACATAAATTTCCTCGGTAAGAAAAACATCTACCTATAAAAATTGATAAATTTGACCAATAAAATTGATCGGGCTTACATTTCTATATTATTTTTATCGAATAAAAACTATGTGGTAGATTAGTATTAATATTTTTATTTTTTTCTGAAGATTATATTACCAAAGATAAACATTATTTAAATTATTAATTTAAGAATTTTTTTTTGACTATGTCACTTAAACTTATTATCACTTAGTGATTATAGGACAATTTTTTTTAAGTTATACGCACAATAAAATTTTAATATACAGATATGTTTAACATCACACATATTTTTTAAGAATTAACATGTATTGTCAAGTAATTATTTACAAATTTACATTCCTCGGGTTCATTAATTATTTATATTTTTAAGAAACTTTGTAGTCATGTAGGCATATTTTGAAATTTTTATTAGAATTGGAAGTTTTTATATTTTAGTTTACAATTATATGAATTTTTATTTGAGTATGTATCTTATTTCATTTTTCTAAATTTAAATAAATTATTTAAACGTAGGAGTGTTTTGTAATTATTGTAATTGTAATTATATATTACACTTCATTTCGGAATCAATAATTTTGTTCGAGTCATTTCGACATTAGTGACGGTATTGATTATGACAAAATATTTAAACTTCCAAGATACCTGAAAGTCCGTATGCGTAATATCATTTTAATAAATTTTCCGCCATTCACACAGACACGATTTGAATTGTAATGTTGGACAGAGGATTTAACTAACTATAGTGATACTGAATTATATTATAATATGGTAAATTACATATCTAAAAAATATTACATTACAAAATTAGATAACAAATTGAAACATTCCAAGAGTTATGTGTACACGTTTTCTATTGAGTAATTAGCAATACTATAACGATGTAGTTCCATAAATATTAGTTTTTTTAATAAATCTCTGACTATTTTACATTGATTTTAAAAACAAAAAAAAAATTTTCTACCACTGATAATTCTTAACGATCTCTCCGGTGTACGTGCTTTCTACGCAGAGAAACATCGTAACTATAATCATTCATTAATTACATGTACAGGTTTGGTACTTACTTTGAGTAGACCCATGTGCGGGAATTTTTCAAAATTCAACCGTCCGCTTTCTCCGTGTTTGTAAATTCTAGTAGCCGTCACCGTATTCGGACCCATACCATCACCGATAAATAAGATCACGTTTTTTGCAACTCTGTTGTTGATCTGCACGTTCAGAGCCTCGTTTAACTCTGACTTGCCCACCGACATCCAAAACATCTCATCTTAATAGGAACGTCATTTTAATCATTAGTTTAAATGTAAATAATAATAATGATGCGGTTTAATATAGCATTGAAATGAAATTTCTTAATTTGTTGGTACATTTATAATATTATTATATTTGAAAAATGGTAACAACACTAGTTTAAGTTAATTTATAGCTTTTATGACAACAAACACGACGAAGAATTATTAAAAATTAAAATTGAAGTGAGCTAAAAATGCGTTCCATTGCGTGAACAGCAAATGTTTATCCAGACGGATTCATGTTATTAAATAATTTAAGCATACCTATATCGAGTTAAAATACATTTTTAATCGCAGTTCAATTACGATCATTCGTACCCATTCGGTTCCATAACCCTGAGAGTATGGAAAATCTGGTCTTAACATTATATTTTATGCTGATAAGGCTCACGGGCCATTTTTTATTTCCGTATTTTATTCTTTAGCAACTCTCTTAGGCGAAGGGTCAAGAAAACATGATGACTCGTTTCGTCAAATAATATGTCGTACCTATACACAAGAGTATAGGTTTGGGTGTGCAAATCGTGCTTCGAAAGAAATATTTTATAAAATTATTATCTACAGCTACAGGAAATTGTTAATCAAAGATCAAATAAAAATTTGAACTAAGATATATTAAGGTACTATATTATAGTTATACGAGTAAATGTTCATAAATGTTAAGTAATTTGTTTTCGATGCGATATTAATCTTGTACTTGCTGTGAACTAAAAAATAATTTTTTCTGATCCAGCTGTTAAAGAAATAACGTATAACTATTTTATAAAAATAATATATGTATTATTGTTTACGGTTTGAATAACAAATTAATGTCCTGAGGTATACTATAGAACGTGTTAAAAATGTAAATCTAACGATGGGGACGTCGTAAATCCGTCATACTTCCGACGTCAAGTACATCATCGGTAGAAACAAAAATAAATATCTATAATTATGATGTATTAAATCGATTATATTATTAATCTATTATTATAAAGTCGTGTAATCCACTATTAATTTAATAAATTAATATATAGGTACTTGTATGTGTAAAGTATGCGCGCCTTATAAAATATGTATAATAACACTAATTACATATAAATGTTGAAATATTTTACATATATTTATTTATATATCAAAAATATTACTAGGCCTCTTCAAGTTTAAACTCGTGTGGAGGCCTAAGAGTTATCTTATTATTATTATAAACTGTTATACATATAACATTATATATATCATAAATATTTTTGAACTTCTTATTTTAGACGAACACACACAATAAAAAATCAAATATAAAAATCTTTTAAAGACATGAAGATTTATTTTATCACCCTTTTATTATGTTTAAACTGTGCATTTTTACAATTTATTGATTCATTGAAAATGTATGTGTATTACAAGATTATATTTTTCAATATTTAGTTTTTTTGAACCTCTTGAGGAATATCCTGTAGTAATAGCAACTTTTGTGTTTAAAATGGTAACACTATTGTTTCGTGAAAATAATTATTCGGTTAAATTTTTTTGGATTTTTTTTAATTTAACTCGGTCAATACTTGGAACAGTTCGTTTGAAATTATTCAAATTTAAAGTTGCGTACGTAAACTGTAAAATAATTTGTATGCATTTTACTCGTGAATAATACATGTAGCAAGAAGCATTACGATTAAATTCACGTTATCTCGGAGCAGCAGTGAGTAGAGATTAAATTAAATTGCGAGTAACACTATATTATCAAAACTTAATTATTTTGTTGTATTAAACAAAAAAAACGATACCAAGTCATTGATAAATGAGGTTGAATAAATGTGAATGCTATTATTGAAAAATGAATTATACGGTACATTAAAATTTAACCAAATAATTGTTCGCGTAAAAGAAATAAATTAGTGATAATTTGTTAAACAAAAGTAGATATTGTGACAGGACACATTTTATAAGAGGAACAAAAAATCTATGTGGTTATCGGAAAATACCGTTTTACAGAAAACATTTACACGTAAGTGTTCAACGTATCAGAATTTGAACGAAATCGTAATTAAAACATAAAAAGTCATTGTCGGTTTATAGTTGTCGGAACATTCGATTGAAAACGTGTCAAAACCGTTTAACACATATAGGCTCGCACTCAACCGAATCGCGAAACGGATTTGTTTAGGTATTGCGACGACGTAATGCCGCGCGCGTTAAATAACGTTTTTCCTCGTCCGGTGCGAGTCGAACGCGAATAAGGGAGAAAAAAAAATTAATAAAATATGTCTACGGGGTGTTGGCGGTCCATACCTTCGACAAAAGTCTTGGCCGTCGTCCGGCTGATGAGCTCGCACGTGCAGGCGACCAGAAGCGCGTAAACGCACCACGACATGGCGGCGGCGGCGGCACTGCAAATGTCTCGGGAACGCGACGCAAGCGACGCGAACGGTCGGGCGGTGACGGGGAGGGAAGGGACGGCACTGCGCTGACGTGCGCGCGTGCCGGGTCCGAGGGACGTTACGTATCCGGGGGCGCCGCGAGTAGTTGTCGGGAGGACGGGCGGTATCGCGAGCACGTCCGTAAACCCTCGAGCACGGCGGCGGACGGTGGGTTGTAATCGCGTGGAAACGGTTTTCCGGTCGAGAACCCGCTCGTGCGACGGCGGCGGTGCGACTCGTCGTGCATGCATCGCGCGGGCTCCGCGTTACGCGACCACGACGGACGCGATCGAGCGCGCGCGCGCATGCATGGCTCCCACCACGACACCGCGACAACCACCGCCACCACCGCGGCCGCCGCCACTAACCATGCGAAACGGGTCCGCTGGAAGAAACGGCATAGCGTTCGCTCTCGGAAGAATCGGGAGAAAATCCAAAAAAAAACCCGACGAAACAATTGTTTTCCGTTAAACGCGCGCGCACGCGCGGATCGTGTCGCAGATGTCCGTCGCCAGACCCCTTCGCGGACGACAACGCGCGTCCGTTGCCCGTTGGTCCGATCTCCTCCGACGCGTGTGTCCGTCTGCCCGGCGCGCGCGCGCTCCAGAACTGCACTTACCGGTGCACTAACCGCGTGCGGTAGTGCTCCGCGTGGTCCGGTCCAGTACGGTCCCGATCGTGGTACTCAAAATCTAATTAGGTACAGATATTGTTATGTAAACAAATAAAACGAAAAAAAACCTACAACTTTAGGTAGGTATATATATTTATTTATAAAGTCTGGTAGTCCGGTCCAGTGTTATACTAAACCAGTGGTTTTCAACCTTTTTAACAATGCGGCACACTTCATCTCCAACAAAGTTTTCGCGGCACACTAATCCATGTATTATGTGTTTACAGTCCTCTCTATTAGAGGGTTATTTATTGAGAAATATATTAATACAATCGATCGATCGAGACGACTGCGACGGGCATACTTACAATGAATAATATTATATGTGTCTACGATTAGTTCGATGGGTTTTCATCTCGAATATCAGTAATAAGCTGGTAAATACATACTTATACAACAGTTTATAGATTTATCGCGGCATATTTAAAGGGCGCTCGCGGCACACCGGTTGGGAACCACTGTACTAAACGCATCATATGGTACGATCTGGGCTAATACAGACTGAACCTTACGGACCGGTCCATAAACAGTCCAAAATGTTTTACGATCGGACCGACAGTCCGGTCCACGGTCTACTTTATTAAATGTTACCTATTTAATTACTGGTCCGGTCCGGTCTAAAAATTATATGAAGTCGTCGGTTCGGTCCAATTTTCGTCTTTGATTTAACGTTTAAGTGTGGTCCGGTCTGACTTCGGTCGCCTGGTAAAATTTAAAGTCCGGTCTGGTCCTTTAAATAACGGATCGTACAGAGCACTAGCGTGTGGTGTCCCGTGCCGTGTTCGCCGATTTCACGAACATATTCGTATTAGAACCGCAGTTCGGCTTTTTCCTTTGCATTTACTCAATAGCTATGTTAGCTGCGAATTCGATTTTTATGTTCGTCATGCGTAGAACGAAATAACCGACGTTTTATTTCGCTAAATGTAGAGTACAGTTTTCATAAGTAACTTTAATCCGTTACATTATACCTCGAGTTTAATCCATTATGTATGTACTTAATAATGAAATTAAAACAAAACTAATACGTTCGCTTTAATTTGTTTATAAAAACAAATTAATTACATTTACCAGAAAATAGCATTACGTTTTTTTTTTTTTTATTAGCTATTAATGCGTATATTTGATTTAACTTTTAACTTTTATTTTTAGATTTTTCTCGGTCTAATTATTACGCACAGCACGAACATGATATAGTATTAAGTAGTAGGTACGTAAAACACTGTAGTGTAGCCCAGAATTTTTTTCGGGCAAGAGAAAGAGGTGGGGTGAACATTTACATAATATCACATTATAAAAATACCATAACAACTGCTAAATACTAATATAAAAATATTACCACCATTGTAATGATAAATTATTTACTTAAATTACATTTTGTTGATTTTTAGCATAGTCCAGTTGTTCACTGATGGAAAACAATTATTTAGCACCATCTCTATAAGAGTAGATAAAGTCCAGCAAGTTGTGACTTAGATGTACGGTATTTAAGATAAAGTTAATAAATTTAAGATTTTCTGAAATTGCGAGGGGGAATAATACAGACCTTTGCACCTTTCTCCCTGTCCATTGGTGATGCCAACGGTACTACGAGTAAACTTCATCGAAACGTTATACTCCGGCGCTGGGGGAGGACAAACGGGACATTTGTCCAGGGCCCCGCGCTTGTTAGAGCCCCTGTGATTTTAAATTATTATCTTAATACCATGAGATACATTGAAATTTTATATCCTAAAGGCTAATGTCCAGGGCCCCGCAATACCTAGCGCCAGCACTGTACTCCGGTAAACGGTGTAATGAATTGATTTTATCATATTTCATGTATTTCGCCCGAAGCCTTACTGCGTATACGACGACAACAGCCGCTTATAGTCGTTTCGGTTTTGGTAACGTAACACATCACTTTTTACACACGCACGTACGCATGCACACACGTTCATTGGAATTCTACAAACGTTTGGAATCTCGTTCAATTTCGACTATTCGCAGTATTCTGCAAAGGTACAGCGAGTGTGCAGTACGTCCGCAGACAAAATTCTAAAAGTACCGTCGAAGGTCTCCGTATTATTTATACATACATATAACAGCCTATGGGTTGCTTTGAATAACTGAGCCAATATTTCTAAATAATACGTGCTGCGCAGTATGTATATATGATCGGGACTGTTAAACTAGAAACGACGATTATTTTCGGTAACATCCAAGGGTAGATTTATGGTGGGCGGGGGATTACGTAGTGATCATAGCCCCTCCTTCCATGGGAATTTAAATGTCTCAAATTACAGTAAAGTCTTCATTGTTCTTTATTTATCGCCCTTGAATATTTCTATTCACCCCTCCCTTAAAAAACTTTAGATCCAATCTTGTTTACATCATCGTATGTTTATCATTTTAAACTCGGACCGTAGAGATAAGTGTACCTCAAAATTGTATTTTGCCAGTGAAAGAAAGCGCCAGAGAGGATTTTTCAATGGGTAGGGAGGAGTGTATACGTATTCAGTAGACTCAATATTATGTTAGGGAGTTTGAAGTAAGTGAAGTACTAATTCTAATCATACTATACTATTTAAAATATTCATATTATTTATCGTATACGGGGAAAAAAAAAAATTAAAATAATATAAACATTTACCAAATACATAATAGGTGTTAAAATTAAACTGTTTGTTAAATATTTATTTTGACCAAACTATTAGCTGTATTCGTTTAGCCCGTTTGGCGAAATATGTTGACGACCTCCAGTTGTCTGCTTTCTGCGGTCCACAAGTTTTCGGTTGTTGCTAATTTTTGTGTTATATAAATATTGAGTTTTGGATCACGAAACTTAACTAGGTTAGACGTAACTAAGAGAGCCAGCGGTGCTTCATAGCGGTTAATCGAATATTGTATATGTTTTATCAACTGTTATTTCACGTGCATTATTCTGTAAAGAGACATGATCCTACGAGTCGCGTTACACATAATTGATTCACAATGTCTACGTGATATCATTATTATGGTCAATTAATTATTGTCAATTTAAAAAAAAATGTATAAACCGCGTACCTACGTCCAATCACGTTATCGTATATTATGACTTATTAGTAAATTTGGATGCACGTTTCGTAGGTGTACCCAGGGTGTTGAATTCCCTCTCCCCCGAAATGTCAATGAAATCAGAAAAATGTAATGCTTAATATTTTTATATAATTTAAATTCGTACCATAAACGTTCGCCGGGGTATTTTTATATAATAGATCTATCTAGTACTATAAAATTAATTATTACCAAAATTGTAAAATAAATGAATTTGAAATACTTGGTAGTATATCTATTGACTCCTTCCCCCAAATAAAATATCAAGGCCCATTCTCTGATATTTATATATCAATATAAATCGTGATATTATAGTAGGAGTTGTGCTGTTAATTTTTAAAATATAATATTTCGTTTGGAATTCGCGTCGACCGATTGTTCATCATTATTAAGTAGTAATAACGGTCGCAGTGATGTGTCCGTCAGACGACACCGACCCATGCGTGGGCCCCGGAGACGCGGATACACCACTTATCGACTTGCATGATGTATATTATTATAATATAATATACGCGTGTAGTGATATTGTCAAATTTGTCTAGAGATTGAAAAAAGTAGCACTTATACAATTTGCCAATTGAAATGACGAACGAATACTATGCTCTGTGGTACATCTAGTAAATTGACTTCAATTATGGTGTTACAATGGTAGTGCACGTATAATTTAAACCATCTAACTTCCTACTTTCGCGTACACTAAATAATCAATTCGACGTGTAATGGTTTTTACTGTAAAATTTGATTTTTTTGATTTTTAAATAAATATCACTTTAATTAACTATCACTTTAATTTAAATAATTATGAATATTAAAATGTACAATACTATATATACATTTTTTTTTCTAAACAACCAATAATATCTTTCGGTGAACTCATTGATACCTCGGTTCATATAATTTTTTCGGATTTTTTTTCCAGTTATTTTCTAATCATAGGTAAGCACTGTTTAAGGTAACACACTATTTATACACACCATTCTATTGTTTAAATAATTTTATGCAAATTGCATTAAATTAACAATCATTTTTATAGATTTCAGGGTGATTCTGGAAGTCATTTGATGTGGAAAAGATTTGATGGGAACTACATTATGGGTTTAATCAGTTCCTGAGTAGTATGTGGTAAAACAGGTATGCCTGGTGTATACACTAGAGTGACACATTATATCGACTAGATAGAAGCTACCATGGAAAAAATATGACTATGACTCGTTATCGTAATAATTGTACTGTAATTTTTCTGAAAATAATTTTATGTATTGGTTTTCTGATGTAGCATGATTGTATTTTGTGCCAAAAAAAAACCAATTAACAGTTGACACTATAGGGAATACTCAAGGCCAGATTGAGAGGGGTCTAGTTGGGGCGGCAGCCCTGGGACCCTCTCGAGTACCCAAATGAAAAAATGAAATAATTTTAAGCCGATACACATTTTTTTTTCATACTAAAATTAGTAATTTTATAGACATAAATTGTATATACCTATTAATTTTATTATTCTATAATGCAATTGACAATTTGTGAAACAGTTTAAAAATATTTATCAAACTGCAAGCGTAGCGATCATCTTAATAATACATGTTTTGTCAAAATGGCCCATATAAAATTTCAGCCCCGGGACCCAAAAGGTGCTTAATCCGGCCTTGGAAATACTAAATTGATCTTATCTATTAGAAATAGACGATATAAAATGAATATGCTATTTACGTATTATTTAAATAGGATGAAAATAAAAAAGGCCATTTTTTTTTTATCTTAAATATATTAAATTCAACTGAGTTTACTTCTATATTTATATTAAATTTACGAGTAGTAGATGTTAAAACAATTATTTGAATTTACGTCATAATTTACAGCTTTCAAAGTATAATGATTTTAATAATGTGTTATAATGTACTTTTCACATAAATTTATATATATATATAAATTGGAAGAAAAAATGTAATATTCTACAAATAATATAGAAATATATAATTATGAATTAATCGTAAAACGTTTATTTGTGACTTACTATCGATAGAATTTGCGTAAATACGTAAGCATATCAAATAATTATTTTTATATCAGAAATCGGTATCGATCGGAAAATTGAATGTGCTTTAAATACATAGGTATAAGAAAAAAAAATCTTATCGGAAAACATGGAGAAAAAAAAAATAATAATAATAATAATAAAACAGTATAGTTGAAATAATTGATATGTTTTGTGTGTCGAAATCGATATGTACTCACGATAGATGTAGAAAATATATAAGCGATGATAGGAAATAAAAATTATGATAATAATAATAATAATAATAATAATAATAATAATAATAATAATAATATAATGTTGTAGTGAAGAGACGACTGCGCTGTTGGTCTGAGAATGACCGGAAACTTCTTGGACACAGTCGTCGTAATGATTACGATATATAATATAATCATCACCATCATCTCGGTACGCACGGTCTTATGCCCGATATAGTGATGTTTTTCATCTCTTGCTCCATTTGAGCACCCGTGAACACTGGCGGCATGATTTGAGATTCTTGGAAAGGCTGGAAACGAACAATCGAAAACTATGAGTATTATATAATAATCGGTTATATACAGGACTCGGATTCTATAGCACAGAAGCTGATCCTGACCTAGATAACCGAAGGGTGAATGCATTTTAAAATTCAAAGGGTACACATTTATAATAACACTTCACCCGGTTAAAATATAGTGTTTAAAATATATTAAATTAATTTTGTGTATTCTTAACCTTAGCTGGTACGTCTCGATCGTCACGATTGGCTCTCCCATTAAATCCACCCCGGCAATAGCATTTGATAAATTATTATAGAACACTAAGAAAAACAACGGTGTAAGCTATACATTTATTTCATGTAATAAGGATATTTTAAATCTAATACATTTCACACTGCATATATTTATCTATTTTCAAGATAATAGCTGTTGAGTATTATATCTCTTTTGTTTTGGAGCTATTTCGTGATTTAAATAAAAAGAAAAGATAGTGTCATAACTAGAATATGAAATTCATCATATTTTCAATTAAGAGTTGAATAATAAAAAAATAATTTTTTTTAGCGAATAACATTGTTTTAAACTGATCACGGTAGAAGACACTAAATACTCGCATACTGTGCTTGTAGAAAAAAATCACAGTGTGCGTTCTTCGTAAAAGGTATTTATCGTTATCGTCCAGTACCATAGAATCGGAGCTCCGGTCATGTGCACGAAGCCCACGTGCGCCGATAGACGCACGTGCACAGCGTACATGCAAAACGCGGACCGGTTCGCGTGCATGTTACGATCGTACAGTGTACACATTGGCACGTACATTGTAACGCGCGCGGATTTATAATTTATTCCGATACGAAACGCGAAGAACAATCCGCGTCGGATTTCGTACGTTTCGTCGGGAGCAATCGGCTCCGCGCAATGTAATCGTTGAGTGCGTGCCCGTGCACGCCCGTGCGTGTCCATGAGTGCGCGGCAAACGTTTACGTATTGGTCCGAGCTCTTCATCCAAGGCTGCCCCCGTGCCGTTTCGGGTAAGGATTTCGGTCGAAACGGGTATTTATTTTATTTATTTTATTTTTTTCGTACTCGTTTTTTTTCCCCCCGACAATACCCCAAGGTACCGCGGCGACCGCATCGCAAACCGTCGGTGTGGTCGATTTCGAACTGTGTACAGTATTATATTACATTCCGATGGTACAGCGACTTTTTTTTCCATCTAAAAACGTTTGCATCTCGGTACGTTATAAACCTACAACACGCAATGGTCGGGAACATCGGGTTCAAGTATTTGAAGTACTGATTTCGTTGCTATTGTTCTAAAATTTTTTTTTTTTTTGCCTACCTTATATATACGATTATATATACTCTGTGTACTTTTTTGTATCGTATATATATATATATATATATATATTTTTAGGTCGCTATAAATAATTATTATCAAAATAACGAGTGCTGACATGAAAAATATATTATTTTAAATCGATAAATTCGATTACTGCTATACAATGTATTCGCACGTGTTAATAAATGTAAGGACTGTACGGATCAGAGATGGTGACCGAATGTGTCCGAACACATGTACTGATAATCGACTTATTATATATTAGTAATGGTCAACCATAATATTAAGCATACGTAGTGGGATAATATAGATACTTTTTTTTTATTTATCGAGTAATCTCATTCGAATAGTAAACTCATTTAAATATATGTAAATATTTGTTGTATATTTATGGATTTTTTGAAAAACGGCTTTGTCGCCATAAATGTTTCGAATACAGAAGAAAAAACTCAACACCTATAAATCAAACTGTGTAAACAACGAGAAAACTAGAAAGAAATTCGTAGTATAAATGAATATACAAGTCTAAGGTCAAGTCGTTTGTCATTGAAAACTATAAATTCCGTAACTCTTTCCGTATATTTGTGTGCAATAAAGAAGTATGGGTACCAGATGAATTCTGATCTTAAAATATACTTGATGAACAACGTCGAAAAAACACCGAGTACAGCTAATAAATATGTACTAAATATATAATGTATTATATAAATATACAAAATATATTATAAAATTAACTTTTCGATCACCTGTAATGGTAACTACATACAATTACACTAAGATACTTGTCCATAATTTAATTACAATACTACTTTTAAACTCAACCGTGTATAATATTTACAATTTGTTAGCATTTTCTTATAATATCATTAAGTAAAACTAAAATAATTAAGGCATTTTACTGATGTATATTTACACATTATGTAGACACTATATGTTTACACGAAAAGAGTCATTGATTGGTAGAAAAGTTTTATTTTCTTGAAAATATGTATTAGGTATGTAATATTTTTTATTTGTTTCAACGAAATAATATTGTGTTTCTACTAATTACAATGTTAATCTAAAATAATTTTATTAGATAAAATATTATAATGAAACCTAAAATTATTTTTGTTGTGGAAGAGTATCAGTAAATTCCATGCATTTTTAACAAGATAAAGGATGAACCTGATAATAAACGCATTAAGATTTCAAAATAGTTTATGTAAGAGAACGTTTGTTTTTTTTGTAAAGAAAACCATGAATATAGTTCAACAGCAACATCCAATTAATCACTCTGCAGTATTTCCGTGCACAAGTGGAGTGTGCACATAAATCTAAATCAGATATATATATATATATATAGGCACGGCAAAACGACATATGGTTAAAATATATATGATAAAAAGACAAAGCAATAATAAAATTAGAAATTTCACTACAAGAAAATAACTAGATTAGTAAATTAGAATAAAGAAAAGAAACTAATAAATCTTCAAAAAGAGCAACGCAGTGTAACGAGAATTGTTCGTGGAAGCACATGTTTTATTTTATTTTTTATTTTGATATTATATTATTATTATTTTTTGAATATTTTAATGCAGCAAAAGTAGGATTTTTCATAAATCTTAGAATTGTGTAATTATAGAAAAATTATATTCTTTGATGTTTCATAACAGTCATAATAGGAACTAATCCCGTCGTCGACCATGTTACCATAGCATGCCAACAAATTCGTGCTCTTTACCATTCCGATGTTTGTGATTGCGTGCAAAACAGTGTCCATTGTACACGGTGGATAAAGCGGTAAAGCGACACAATATGTTATAAGCCTGTAAGTATTGTACTGAAAAATATATGTGCTGGTCTCGAAATATTATTAGCATAATCCGTATCCGTTTACGTTTTGTTTTAATTCTATTTATTCGATAACATTATAAAAAATACTTTCACGGACGTTAACCGGTTTTGAATTTCTGATCAGTGAATACAAAAGGGACGACACGCAAACCGCCATAGTATGGTATTTCGAGGGAAAAATGCGCACATTTTAATAACGTGTTGTATTTATGTACACAAGTAGCATTACGTATTTAAGCTCATTTTAAAATAATTTATTATTATAATCATGTTCGACTTGAATTCCAATGTGTTACCTCCGAAAATACACGCACACATACAAAACCAATTGAAATAATAAATCGTAAGCATTCACAAAACGTTAGCTGGTTGTATTAAGTAAAATCACAGGAAAAATTTTAAAAATATATAGAATATTTAATTTAAAGATCAAAATAATATTACAATATTAATTTAGGATTGAATTGTAAAATCCTATAATTTATAAGTTTTATTAAAAGAGAATGACAATCTATGAATATTTATGTAATTATTTTTATAATTTTACCAACATTAATCACCAAATATGCTTACACAAAAACTTTGCTCTTGAAAAACATTTAAGTATAACCCCGTTATTCACTAACAGGGCCCCCACAAGGGGGGGGGGGCTGATGGACCTTGAGTATAGGAGTCCGGCTTTTTTAAGGGCCCGTGGGCCTATTGATATTTATTTGTAATTTTTGAAATTGTAGTAGAAATACTTATTTTACATAAAATAATATTTTATATACATATTTAGTTATTTTGATAGTTCAAAATGTGCATTAACTAATGATTACCTAGAAATGAATGGATTGGCTTTGGCAATCAATTTTGACGATATCATTACTGAGTTCGCTGAACTCAAAGCCCGCAAAATAAAATTTTAACTTAAAAAATATATATTAAGTATAAATTAAAATATACTTGTTTTTTTTCTTTTTTAATTTAATTAATATTTTAATAAAAAAATAAAATAGATATTATTAATTTAGAGATGCTTATGAATCTTGAATTTGAATTGGTATAAAGAAAAAACAAATATTATTCCTAAAATATTTATATATATGAAAATTGTAAATTGTATTTTTGGAAATTTTATAAAGGGCCCAGACAAACATTTAATGTAGGGGCCCGAAATTGTAAGTGTGGGCCTTGCTCACTAATAATAATTGAAATTAAATAAATAAATTAAATTAAATAATTAAAATAAACTCCAACAATGCTTCATATCTTCAATAGAAACATACTTTAAAATTTAGTGTGGAAGCGATGTAGAATATATTGGTTTTACAATGATGGTTTTTCTCCTATTTTTTTTAGTGCAATTAAACTTGCAGGTTAGCATAAAAAGTCCGAAATAGTATTTTTATCAGATATTTAATTGGACCCGGAGAGTACTTTGTGTAAGTTTGAACATGGTAAGAATCTATTTTCTTAAAAAACATTAGTCTGTCCATTACCTGATACGCATTTGAGTCAAAACTATAGATATTTAGTAGAATTATTTATATTTCTTAATCGACTTTCGCTAAAATTGGCTTATGGACACTGTGATATACCACAACTTTCTAATTTATACAAATAATTCGGCAGGCAAAACAATAAGAACTTGCATTTGGAACCTGTATTTTTACTGTTTTTTTATATACTGGAATACAAATAATATATAGTTATTTAAAAAATATATTATAGACACGTATAAATCAGCTCCATGAGAGATCACTGTACATTTTTTTTTTTTGTAGGTTAGGGGAAGAGAGAAGAATACCTATATTCGATTGGGAATATAGGTGATTATTTTATTATGATATCTTAACGTGGAGGACTATAGTTCCAACAAATCATAATTACATTTAAATGTATTTTAATAATTTGATTTGTAAATTACTTGATATTTGTTCTTATATCCACCAACCCACCTTATCATTTGATGTCTATATGAATAATATTATTAACAAAACGTTTGATGTGTTAGAAAAAGAGAATTATTAGTAATTTTACTTCTGATTCATTTTTTGCACTCATTATTTATCCTTGATACTTTTTATAAGCTGCATCCAAATTGCATGCCAAAAAAAAAAAAATGTCCGAATTGCATGCCAGGTCTTAGAGAGTTCTGTCCATATTGCATGGCGGTTAGATTTTAGCAATTTTTTTTATTATTTATTTTTAATACCATGGGATGCTGTATTTTATCAAACAATTTTCCTTCTCATTTTGATATTAGTTCTACCTTTCTTATCTATAATTGGTAATATTTCAGAAATTACATCATATAATTTTAAAGTTAATCGTCTATACTACTCTGTATTTATAGTCAATACTCTATCTTATCGATATAATATTGTTATCTGGTATTGGACATCAATAAATATCTATACATACGTACATATATATACCTAAAGCTTAAAAATTAAATTTTAAAAATGTCTAATAAGCTAAATGCTAAATTGCCCAAAACACATTGCAATTCGCCCAAACGTATGACGCCCCGGCATGCAATTCAGACATACACCTCTAAGACATGGTATGCAATTCGGACATTTCAATTTATATTTATTGTTTTGGCATGCAATTCGAACGCACCGGTTTTATATACGAGTATGGAACTTGTATCTAAAAAAAGTAAAACAAATTTTAGGAAGGGTAGATAACAGTTTCTTATCTTATTCCAAGTCCAATATGAAAATCAAAAATTTCCCCATTTTATCTATCCTTAAAATGTATACACTTGCTTCCCATCCAATTATGTCAAACCTTTCATTAATATCTCGTTACTCAAGTAACTTGATCACTTAATATTATTCTATCACCATTCGTGTCCATTATCATATTAATCATTATCATATATGATATCCATTATCATCAAGTCTCCCTTATTAATTTATGAAAAATGGCAACACATAGGTGTTATTTTTCCGCGGTGTAAATTTACGGTACATTTTGTTAAAATTAAAGCGTGACATTCAGGGCCGCATTTAGGGGGGTACAATGGGTACAATTATACCATGCGGTAAATTTTTAGGAGGTGGCTATAATTTTGAGGAGCGGCAGTTAAGAGGTACAAAATGTTGAATAAATTCTGATAATCATGATAAAAATAAAACAAATCATTTAATCACTTAAACCTTTTTAACCTTTAAACCTAACGCGCATGCCGCATTGATAAATGTTAACTACAGTACATTGTTTATATTATTCAGTCACCATAGAATATTTAATTTTGTCTAATATTATTTTACCTCGTGATAAGTGATTCTATTTATTATGCAGACATAATGTTGAATTAATGATAACACTATTATAATATTACTTATTATTAATAAGTTTTTAATAATAAAATGTTCATTTCTTGAGAAAACTAATTTATTATAATATGAGTTATGATTTATATAATTTCTGTGACGTTATTTTTTTATCTAGACATATTTTATTTCAATGTTGAATGGTAAAAAAAACAAACTAAATATTATAATTAATTAACTAATTAATTAAATATTATAATAGGTGTATAAAATTGAAATTGTGTATACTTTTTCATTTAAATATTTGTTTTAAAAATCAAACGTTAGCGTGTGAACAAAGCATCCCATTGCTATGGCATTAACATGTTCAAAACATGATGAAAATAGTTATCAAAGTTTTATACTTGTATTATTGATTATTTTATTATTGTTATTGTATGATTGTCACCAGAGAACGACCAAACGCGATTGGATCGCAAACATTAATGTAGCAGTTGACGGAAAGAAAATAAAAAAAACACTTCAGAGTTAGAAAAAGGAATCGACAACCAATAATACGTTTTCGGATATCTTGTGAGGTTTTAAATGATGATCGAGACGACCTAGCCAATCGTAATTATTCCGACGATGTTAATCACTATAAGTTTTCTGGTTAGATTAGGTTAGGTTAGGAACCAATGTCCCGTTCGGTTTGCTCTGATATTATTCTGTATCGATCGCGCCCTTAAAGGGTGAAAAAAAACTTACCATGATGTACTCGGACAAGCATACGGTCTTGCTGGACTCTCTCATATAAGCGTTGAAGCTGTGCCTGGGCGTCCAGTCGTCTCCTCTAGTTGTCGGTATGATCATGACGTTATCGATGCGACGGCGGTTGTACTGGGCGTGCTGCGTCAACAGACCGCTGAAGCTTTGGTCGACGAACGCGACCACCCGGCGCGCCAAACAGTGTGATATGTCGTGCACGAATTCCTTGGACGTGTACACCTCGTCGCTTTCCACCTGCAAACCCGGTCGACAAATTTCATAGTAAAATGTATACGTATATTAGTTGCGCTTTATTTACAAATACTATAATATTATTATCACCATTGTTGCGGATAATTAAAACAATTGATAGCCGACAATCGGTTAGATACCATAATACTATTGTATCGTGTGCATGAAGATAACGATGGGGCGTTACGTATTAAACGATTTTTAAATTATCATTTATCAAGTTATGAAACACGTATTATTTTTTATTTTATTTTTTTTATCTACAGTTATTCGATTTACTATCGTAATAATGTTGTGTACAATACAATTAATTTGAATATTTGATGAAAACAAATATAATAATGTAAGAAGAAATAAGTATTGATGTAGACACTATTGTTTGCATGGTCATCAAATACTTTAGTCATTCGCTTTTTGTTTTTCAGTGTTAATTTTAATTTTCCCATTACATAGCTGTAGGTACGCTATGAGCTATATTGCTTTCCGACATTTATTCGAAATAATGAAGTTTATGTCTTAACGAAAAACAACACTCATATTGAATATATACCTCTTTATTTATTTATATTAAATGCAATAAATTAGTGTTAATAATTTTTCCAGCTCAATTCGATCATATACAGTAAAGAAACACAATCGTGCTTTTAAAATTAATGTCATGCACACTACTCTAAGTTTAGGAATGTTCGTCCCACACAAGATCACGTCATTATAAGAAGTTATACTAGTTTAACTAGTTTGGTTATTTAGTATGATTTGAACATTAACATAATTGTTAAACTTCAAAATTAATATAATTTTAATACAAAAATATTTTTTAATAATTTTGACGAAACATCTAATTACTTTTCGCAAGAAAAGGTTTCTTATTTAAACAATTACGTAAAATGGCGTACAAAGTAGAATTGATTGACTACGTTTTATTTTACACTACTATTCTAATCCTCTTTTATACCGCTGACTCTTCTTCACTCCTCAAGGTTTTAGTCTCAACATTTCCTTAATGGATTTAAATTTTAAAATGTTCAATATATCACGATAACTGTCAACTTAATTGTTGATTCGAATGAATAAGATAATTCAACATATAAAACGGGACATCTAAAAGTACAGTATTCTATAATATTAATATTTATTATACAAATAAATAAAAACATTAAGGTTTTACGTGTCAATTTGTTTTTGGAATCTTTCGTTATGGTTCATAAAAAAAAAAATTTAAAAGGATTTTTCAAAATATGAAATAATTATATAGTATTTATCATACCAGACAGATTATATTTTAGATAACATCTATAATTATATTCTTCTTGAAAATAATTTATATTCTTTACGCTGAACGGTACTTGGGTTTTTACTAAAAAAAAATTTAATTCCAAGATTTTTTCATATTAGTTTTTTAATTATTTCACATTCATTCACGTTTTCAATTTTTTTTTCTATTTTTTATGGCCATCCCCTTTTTCTTTTCTAAACTAATTACATCTTGTAAACACACGTTGAACGTATACCACTATCACAATTCTACAATACAAACAATAATATTATACAGTCCTTTTTAATGTTATTAGTCAAACAGAACTCTTTATCCATTCGGCATAAGACACAATAGGTAACCCACTCGACGTGTGTGTATATTGCATATAATACATTGGGCATTGTTTATTTTTTCTCAATATGAATAATATTTTTTTTACAATCTTTTCAAATTGCTGTCCCTCTTACAATGTATACCTTACATAATTTATTATACGAGTATTACACATCATATGTCCGTACAACAATATAAAACGAGTTACTGACCAGAGCCTTTAGATTTTTCGGGCAACATATTTTATCAACCCTTTATTATTCTTTAATACCGCAATGCAGTTGGTCTTACCGGTTGTTGTTTTTTTTTTTTTTTTTTTTAAATATAAATTGTACATACACATGCATAGCTAAACCGTGCGCCGTTATCTTTGTACGCTTATACAAACAAGATTCCCACGATCGTCGAAGTTTATAATAGTAATTTCATCTGCTAAGACTTACCAATCCATTACCGTTGGCGTCCCAAAGTAAGGCGTTACCGTCTTTCCTGGTCGGGCTGGACATGTACAAGAAGAACGTGTCGGCGCACCGCTGAGCGCTACAAATACCTTTGATGTATCTACGGATGTTTAACTTGTCGGCCGGTTCGACGTTGCGGATGCTCGCGGCTGAGTACTCGACGCCATCTAAAAAAGTACGCATCGCACACGATCAAGATAGGGTGAACACGAACATAGGGGTGAATTTTGATCAGCGTAGATCGGTTCCACTCACCGTCGTCCACGTTCATGTTTATGCCGTTGGCGAAAAACGTACGGATATTGTTCTCAGCGAATCCCCAGGAAACGAGTTTGTCCCTCAACGACATCAGGTCGTAAGTTGTTACGAAATCCGCCATATTTCTACTCCAACCACCGAACAGCATCACAGCCTTTGAAAAAAAAAAACCAAACGCGTAAATTATGTAACCAGTAAAACACGGAATGTAACACTAAAGGTTTTATTCATTTTTAAAATGATAGTTAATGATCAAATTAATCAGAATTTTATACATAAAATAGGTATAATATAATGTTATAGGATTATTAAAAGTTTACTTCTAGAGTATAAATGATAAGACCGCTAGTTTTTAGTTTAATGAGCAATCATCAGGTTACATATAAAAATCAAATAAAAAACCTGGATAAAAACAAAATATAAAAACAATAAAATAAATAATATAATAACGTAAACTTGACAAGTTTATTTATATTAATTATTGTTTATATAAATTTTGATGTTTTGTATTCAGTGGGTTAAGTTATTTAATTTTCACATTATCTGATTATGGTTTATAGCCGAATAACTAATAAATTTAATTTTATATTTTTTATTTTTTTTATATTATTACACTCTTCACGTGAATTTGTAATGAATAAAAAAATTTGTTTTTATTTTTTGATTAACTGTTTTAAATGAGCAAAACCGAGAAAATATATTCGTTTTAAACACGAAATCCTTAAATATGCATAAATATGCGAAACGCATAAAGAGTCGAGTACTAATCATAATCAACATAAATCGAAAATAGTAGGTATATCACAAAAGTTTTGTTTTCGCATACATTATTTCTTCATAAAATTGATGATTAGACGAAGGATTATCTACAACTTGGTAATTCCTATGAAAAATTCATATAAATAATACAGTTTACTGTTATATTACGTTTTGTATGTGATTTTTACAAAGTGCTATGACGTGGTGTACAGCATTTGACTTTGAGATGCGTTAATAAATGTATAAGTGGTATCTTGATCTAATTTATTCACGTGGTTGTGTGTGAAAAAAAAACAGATATAGTTTTAAAAACTGAAAAAAAACGAAAATATTTATTTGAGCATCAATTTCTGATGTACACCGGAAATTACGTCATAGAAGCAAATTTCAAATTCCATAAGAATTAACAGAACAACTCAATAAGTCCCTCCTTGAATCGGTACACGTATATAACAATATTAATAACTATTTAGCGGTTGTAGCACGAGGAAATGTTTTTGATTTTTCTCTATGTACTATCGTATTCTACGATATTTTTTTTAAAACACCGGTATTTTTTTATAACGAAATGAAAATAATATATAATTGTCTACAACAGCGTCGACAGGAAAACTATGGGGAGGATCAGTTGCAAACAAATTATTATGGAAGGAAAATTTCTAAATCTAAGTACCTACTCATTTAAATAATAAATAATAAAATATATATATATATATATATATATATATATATATCTTGAATGGGTCGAAATAATAATTTAAAATCAATTCCGGATTAAGGGGGGGGGGGCAAAGAAGGCAGCTGCCTCAAGTGGCAAAATTTTAAGGATGGCAATTTTTTGACGGCATCAATAAGTTTTGAAATTTTCTAATGTATATACTAGAAAAAATTATTAATTTATTGTTGAAAAATATTAATAACAAATATATAATATTATAATAGTTATTTTATATTATTTTAAACCACTGAGTTATTTCGTCTGTGGACGTTTAGGATATTAAGGGTAAAACTATATTATTATTATTTAGCGCTCGGACCTATGCATTTTTATTTTTATTACACTGACATAAAATTGTGTTTATTGTATTTCTTACATATCTCTATGTGTGTATTATAATTTATAACCATCAGATTATTAAATTTGATATTAATAATTTCAAATAATTTATTAACACACTACTAAGCAATTGTTTTTGTTATATCTCTCTTTCTCTCGAGTCTAGTGGTCATAGTTGTCGTCGTTGTCGAGTTCGTTTCACGAATTACGATTGACTGGAAAACAAACGTACCTACCTAATATTTTATTTTCAATCAATATAAGTGGAAAACGCATACAAATGCATATATTGGAATAAATGAGTTGTTTGGGTTTTTTTTAAATGTGGAAGGAATTGACGATGATATTTTACGAGAAAAATCAAAGCAATTAGTACCTAAATATTTATAGTGTTTATAACCGGAAGTTGAGTGAGATTATACAATTTAAAATAATAATGACGTATTTTTCAGAAAATGAAAAATTATCTATGCACAGTTTTTTTTGAAGTATTAACAGTATCAAAGTTAAACGATTCATTTCCTATTATGAAAATAGCTATAAAACTTTTTATATTTATACAATGTTCAAATGTTAGCCGAGAAAGATCCTTCTCAGTTTTAAAAAAAGTCAAGAACTACTAGAAAACATAATTTTCTAATGAAAATATATCATAGTTGTATTTAATATCTTTGTAAATATTTACCTAAACAATTTGGTTGGAATGATATTATTAAAGAGTTTGCTGCACAGAAAGCTAAAAAATAGTTGTAAATGTTTTATATTGAATAAATTTGTATTTAATTATTTATATTTAGTACTATAAATTTAAAAACTACCAGTGTTACAATATGTTTATAAATAAAAATGAATTAACTATGTTGTTACTTTTTTTATTCATATATATATTGTTTTGTGGAGGGGGTTGAAGGGCGGAATTTTAAAATCTGCCCCCCATGTGGCAAATTTGTTAATCTGGCACTGTTTACAATAAATCCTTGCAATATTTTTTTGTTTCCTTATAATTTCCTTACATTAAGAACACTATTTTATACAATTTTAAAAAGGCCTAAGGGGGGATCTGAACCCCACATCCCCCCTTTGTATATGCCCCCGCGTCGAGCGATTGTCACAGACCGATGTCAGATCGCGTTCAGATTGTCGTTACGAAAGCAATGCAACCCAATCGCGACAAGTGTATTATGATGCACGATGATGTACGACTGCAGAGGAGTTAAGGATTATTCACGGTGCCACGTAATACCTGATTGACCGGCTTCGGCACGGAGCACTTGAAGTTGCCCCTGGTGCAGCCCCTGTTATTGGTCTTGAGATGATTGCACTCATCAGACAGCTCAGCTCCGTCGTCCCGGAGCCGCGGGCAGTTCATCAGGAACGTGTCCTTGTTGTCCACGCACCTCAGCACATTGTCGGATTGCCGACGATCGCTTTTGGTCGGCACCACCATCGGTAAAAATTTCACCTGACAATCCCACGATGAAGTCATCGGTCGCTCGTTACACCATCGGCTCCGCACCATCTGCGTGCATGCCGTCGAGTTATCGTTCAACACTGTTTTGAGAAATAAAAGAAAAAGAACCATGATTATTATTAGATTTTTTTATTTTTATTTTTTCAGCGTCATATATAATATGCGCGATGCGACGATTTGATTTTTTAAAACATAAAAACACTAGTACGTTTGTTTATTAATTGTTTGTTTAAAAATTCGGTACGTAACCTAACCCCGTCTAATAGGTTCACATGAAGCATTTTAATAGATTTCCTAAGCAAGAATTTCTAAACCGGCTCTTACACTGCAAGAACAAAAATACAAAACTATCCGCAATTATACTTGATTAATGGTTTGCATACTATTTTGAAATACCGAATACAACAGAGAATTTACCACGTACACAGTAGACAGTAGTTATAGCTTATGCCTGTAAATTGAACAAATTCCTTATAACGATCTCGTATTCGATCATTCACTCCAAACAGATTGCTCTGAATTATGAGAACGGCTTAATTTTGAAACCAGCACGACTAAAACCACGTATAATATTTATTTAATTTACCATAAGAAAATTAAATGGCCTTTTTCATCCTCGAATTATTAATGTTTACAAGCTGCAGGAAATAAATTTATTAATATAGATCTATTTCATCTTCAGGGAAATATGAGGTAGTCACCCCGTGGCCTTTTTTTTTCCAAATTTTTGACATTTATTATTTGTATTACACTAGAAAAATGTCTAAAAGTACACTGTAAAATCTATAACCATGCGTATGCCGGATCCCTATGTGGTATTACGTACCCCAAGTGAAATCAGTTAAACTACCAAGTATACAATGTATGAAGTTCGCCCCTATAAGAGGATTTAAGGACGTCACTGTTCCACACATAATTTTCAGAATTAATTACGTTATAGCACCGTTGATTAAAGATTGATTCCATTTTAATAATCGAGTAAGAATTATATATTATTATTACTGCGATAATTATTATGTATTTTTATTACTATACTTTTAATTATGTGTAACGTACGTTTTTTAAATTGGATTTATTAACGCAAATAAATTATTATATCATTAAAATAGATTTATACATCGCGATAGTACACCTGGGTCGGAACACCAACAGTAAATCTTAGATATCGCTATCGAAATCGCGTTAGATTTACCGACGGTGTTAGCTTCTCGGTAACGCATTTAAAAGGAGAAGCTCGTGGCATACCTAAACGCATACCGATTTTAATCGTTATTTTAATACAAACATATGCTGGAACGACTGTCGAGTAGGTTATAATTTATAACTTATAAACGTTGAATTTATTCGATTTACCGCCGTAGGTGATCGGAAATCCGCGAACGAATCGCGGCGGAAAAACGAAATGAAACCTGCACGATCCTGTTTCACACAGTTTTTTTTTTTTTTCTTAATTTTGTTACGGTTGATCCGACGGTAACAGGTCCGCGGCATCTGGACGAATGGTTTTGCAACCGATCACGAACTACAACCGTAATGATATACGACCGGACAGCGGTTGTTAACAGCGTACCCGTTGATACTGTTTACGGACGCACACGACGATTACTTATTATTATCGCGGGCGCGAAACTGGCGTACGTGTCGGTAATTATGCGTTCGCGTGTTATTAACTACGAATAAAATAGGTGTACGCCATGATGTTGTAATTTATAAATGACGCGCGGTCGAACGACTACCCCTCGACACCGTTTACCGCGGCCGGATGAGCGCGTAAACGTTGCGTACATTGTACGCTCACGGATCTCCCGCGGCGTTTTCGCCGGTAATATAATTATACAATTATCGTGTCCGTCCGTCGTTGTCTACTAGAAAAGTACACCAAACGCTATTCGTTCGTTGAGCTATGGAATACTTGTAATTGGTACGCACGGGATTTGTGCGGTACCGATCGAAATTATCCGCGAACCGTATGCCGTACGGGTCTAGGGCGTACCCAGGGGGGGGGAAGCTGTCCGAACCCATTGAAATCTTTACATACTCAACGGTTTTAATGGTTAACAGTATAATAATAATGTACAGTGTATTTCAATTTCCCATTATCTTCAATGTACAAAGTTTATAAACTATATTGTAATATGCATATATTACCTATAATAATATACCTATAATGTATAAACCGTACTGTAGTGTATCAACAGTAATTTGTTGGTATTGAGTATTGAACTATAATCGTAATTAGAGAACAGTTAAAATAAAAATGTTGGACCCCCTCCGCTCCCCCCATAAAAAATTCCTGGGTATTCTCCTGATACGGGTGCTTACAGCGTTTACCTAGTACATATCGGAACAACGTGTTGAAAACGTGCGAGTAGTTAATCGAGGGATTTTCTTTGAACGTACGTAACGGAGGTCATCTATTGAAGTTGGTGCGGTGCTAAATTTGTTTTGATATCGCAATTTATTGTTATGCTGATTTTCGTGTGAACTCTGTTACGTTTTAGAGGGGCAGAAGAAGGTATGGTTGGTCAGTAATTCGTCCTTATAACGATCGTCTATGTGCCTTGTTAAGTGTTTTAAAAATAACAAATCATGTACACGGAACGATGGCAAATATAAATAAATTGGTCATCACTGAACTTGATCAACAACTGAATTCGTTCATGTCTAAACACTAAAAACTCGCACAGTATCGATTTATTATTTCATTCGTGAGATGTACAACAAAATTACTTTTCGCATCATTGTGCGGTACCGGGTCGTTATTGGAATTAAATATTAATTGACCTATTACCAAATTTTAATGCGCGAGAATGTGATGTGTGCATATAACGTTCTTTAAATTTTAATTTTACCACAAGGCATACAGCTGGGTCAATCAAATATAATAAGTTGTAACGATTCAAATTTAATAGCGGAGTGTTTAAATATGTGGTGTCGAATTTGAACGATTCTGTATGTGCAAGTTGTAAAGCAATTTTAAATAATAGCAATGTTAAAAATTTCACTTATAAACTGTAGCAAAGATTAAGACACTGCATTGTTTATAATAATATGATTATTTTATGAAGTTCACCAAGCTTTTTATAAATTATTCTTTAAAATTGAATATTAAATAAAAAACATTATTTTTATTATTATTTGGATAGTTGTGTAGTAGTGTAGGTTTGTGAAGTGTAGTGTAAGTTTTTGAAGGTTTTGGCCCACCAAAATACTACAATTTTTTTAAAATCTATTCCATTATTTTGCAAGTCAACTTTCAAATTTGCATGACCAAAATTTAACCTTGAAACCAAAAAATTCAAATTTCAAATAGACGTAGCCCCCTTGTTTTGACCTAGACATTTTAAATCATTATCAAATAAAAACTAACGATTAGTAAGAATTTGAACGTCTATTTTTAGAATTTTTAAGTTATTCGGGTGGTCGTTATAAGCTTTTGAACTTGTGAAGCAGACCACCCAAGTTTTGAAGTCAGAACATCCATATATATATCAAACAAAAGGTAATAATCAACAAGTATTTTCAAGTCAGTTTTTAGAACTCGCAAGTGAACCAGTTGGAGATTCAAAGCTTCTAAATTTCAGAAGTAAGCCCATCAAAATTGTCCTAAAACTTTGAAAATAGTACCAAACGATAGTTTTTAATTCGCATGTAAGTCCCTTATTAAAATTTCCAAGTCATTCTGGTGGTCGCTAACTTTTGAAGTTATGTAGTTGGCGTGGTGTTTTGATTAAGATTGTGACATTAGAAAATTATACATTGCCATAAATTTTTATATTTATGATTACTGATTAATATTATTTTATTAGTCTTGCGGGGCAACAAATTACGTTTATTCTTCTATGAAAACAAATCGGCTTTACTTTTAATTTATTCACTTTTTACATATTTTTAAAATTAAAATTGTGATTATTCTAAATTAAATATAATAAATCATAATAATTATTAAAATCAATAATTTTTATACAATGTTAAATTGATCTTAACAGGAGTTGAAATTGGCAATACTACTAATTAAAAAGTATATTATGTTGCCTATTACACTCCTGAAATACATTTTATTCTGTATTATATTTTAATAATATTATTGTATTCAATATTTTACTTTTATTGATTTCACATTATTAACATGTAAAGTGAAATAAATAATTTCAAATGTTCTTTATTATAATAACTTAATTAAGTTAAATTAGAAGAAACACATTTCATAAAGTTAAAAGTTAAAAATATATTTGATTTTTTACACATTTAACTCAGTACTCGTATAAGTTAAAATTTAACATTTTTTTAATGTTGTTTACAGCAGTTTTTAACATAACATAAAATTAATTAATCTAAAATCAGTCAGAAAAAGTTTCCAAGGAAACAAAAGATATTAAAATAAAAAACAAGGTTTTAAAAAAATGTATAATACGATGTAACTAAATGATTAAGTCTCAAAATAACCTAGTGATCGTAAATGTAAAATTAACTCAGACTGTTTTAATCACTTACATCTTAATTTCATAGTGTTTTCAAAGTCAAGTTTTCTTCGAATGAATAGCTATACACTTAAATGAATTGCTATCGCAAGCATATACATACGTAGAATATTTGCGCAAGCGAATATATATTATCCCCTCCTCCTATTTCGATACATAATTTAAAATGTAATTGTGAATTATACATTTTTCACTAACCTAAAGATTATTTGATATATTTTTTTATTCAATATTATGGAACACTATTTATTGAGAAACTAAAATTGAATAAACCATTGATAATATATGATGATTTTTTTTTGTGAATACTATCAATGTATTTTAACATTGAATTTGTAAATATTAGTTACGTTTTTCTACAGTTATATTATGTGTTTATGATAATATTTTAACAATTACATGGTATAAAAATTTACCACTGTATTAATATTTTGTAACATGACATAAACAAATTGTATAACCATAGGTAATTCGTAAATCATATTGTATCTACGAGTTTTTGTTTGATTCACATCAAAGAAAGCAAGAAAGGCAATTTTAGTTATTTATATATTAATATGAACATTGACTTGAAAAACTAACATCTAAATTTATCAGCA